GATTGCAACCATAAGATACACCAGAGTCTACAGTGGGGAGAGCTGCAGTCTCGGTATCTTCTTTGGAAAAGCGAGACTAACAGTACAAGGCCTCACCGTAGCAAGGTTAGAACTATGTGGTACCACTTTGGCTATAAAGCTCACCAACTTGACAGTGAAGACGTTGTGCCTTGAACTACAGTCCACCACCTTCTACGCAGACAGCAAGGTGACGTCAAGCTACATCTGCAAACAAAGCAGACACTTCTATGTATATGTAGGCAATAGAGTAGAAAAGATTGAAACATCTCTAAGCCCTGAACAATGGCAACATGTGCCAATCTGGCTAAAAGGTCCTGAGTTCTTGGTTTGTCCAGACAGCCCGATGCTACAGAGACCAAAACGCTCTATGCTTCCAGCTCCAGATCAACATGCCAACCTTTCACCTCAAGCACCCAGTAAATTTCAACCAATCAGCTTCAAACCCTCCTCTAAGCGGAAACACCTGAGATTAGGCATGTTTTGATTGTTTTGATCACTTGTCTTAGCATCCCAAGAATTAATCTTGTAGGAGCCTGCAAGGACTTACAGACTATTGAAGATATTTGTCATGATCCAGTGATTGACAAATGTCTGAAGGCCAAAAATCACCCTCCCCATGCATCTCACATAGGCAAAGCGTGGGAGCACATGATTGGCATACCCCGCAAAATCATGGACTATATGTTATCAAAGACACCCAGCCCACACATGAAGTCTTCACCACCCTCATGACAACAGTAGCAGCCATCTTCAATGCGCCACTTGTGGTTCTAGCCCCTTCGGTTCCTGAGTCTTCTGCTCCTGCTGTTCCTGATTCTCCAGCTCCTGCTGTTCTTGATTCTTCAGCTCCTGTTGATGTTCCTGATTCTCCAGCTCCTGCTTTTTCTGAGTTTCCTGTAGTTCCAGGTTCTTTCGTTTCTGAATTTCCTGTGGTTTCAGCTTCTTCAGTTCCTGAGCATCCTGTGAATCCAGATTTCTTTGTTCCTGAAAAATTTTGGGTTCCAGTTTTTCTGTTACAGATTTTGTTCCAGTTTCTTTTACAGGAAGAAGACCTTGTCTTTTTGAGAGACAAGAACACATACCAGAACTATTGGCCCATGGGATTTGTGCACTGGGCCCCACCCAGTTTTGATGAACTAGCTCGCCAAGCTGAGGTCTAGATTGTGAAGCCACATGAGTCAGATCGCTACTCAAAGACTCTTGCACCAGGCTGATTATTGATTTGGTCCCGTTGCTGATGAAGATCGAACTAAAAGATTGAACCTCAAACTATGTATTGTGTTTATGCATTGTTTGATGTAACACTTGTTTATCTCTGTTACAATTGTGCATGTTTTATATTTACCTTATAGTTATGCATGTTTTGATACTATGTTTTGCCTGTTTTAGTCACTAGTTAGTTAGTAATGAGAATTGCCTGCTTAATGCTACGTTTTTGCTTATTTCAGTTAGTTAGTAGTGGAAATTTAAATTTCCAAGCGGGGAGTGTTCTGGATCATGTAACCCTAACTAGAGCACGTAGATCTGTATGTTAGAATGTTTGGCATTTATTGGGTTAAGTGCTGTCTCCTTAAGAGATGGCTTATGGGTAATGTAGTTTTAGCTAGTCAGCAATCCCATGTTATCAGATCTGTGGGAGCAGCCACTAAAGTTCTTCACAGGATATCCTGGCCATGTGCCAGTTTGGAATGCCTTTGTCTGAGTTAAGCATGGAACCACCGGAGGACTCAGATGGCCTCATTCCATGTTAGAAGTTGGTGTGGAGGAAGTATTCATTTCTTACCTATAAGAATGAACAGATGTGTATTGTCCAGAAGCAATAACCATAACTACAAGTATTTCTGAATTAAATATATGTTTTAAAATCATTCTTATTGAGTTTGTCTGTCTGATCTGGGTTTACAAAGCAACTTAACTCTGGATCAGAACATGCATGCTTTGTGCAACTAGCATGGCTGCACAAAGATCTTTGACAAACTGAAAGACAAAAAGGACAAATACAAAAAATGGAAAGAGGGGCATATAACTAAGGCCGATTATCAGCAGACAGCCAGAACATGCAAAGATGAAGTCAGGAAAGCAAAGGCTCAGAACGAACAAAGACATGCAACAGAAATCATGGTTAATAAAAAAAAGTTTCTTCCAACATGTTAAAAACAAGAAAAAACTCAAGGAAACTGTAGGTCCACTAAAGATAGAAGATGGCAAGGAAATAATAGGCAATGGGGAGAAAGCAGAGGTTCTTAACTCATACTTTGCATCAGTCTTCACACAAAAAGAAACTATAGCCCAACATAACAAAAAAAAAAACCACCGCAAAAGACAAATTAGAAACAAAAATTAAAATAAGCAAGAAAATGGCAAGAGAACACCTATCTGACCTTGATGAACATAAATCATTGGGGCCTGACAGATTACATCCCAGAGTTCTGAAAGAGCTGGCAGATGTTATCTCAGAACTGTTGTACCACATCTTTCACAAATCCTGGAGTACCGGGAAGTCTTAGGCCCAGTACTCTTCAATATCTTCATCAATGACTTAGATGAGGGAATTGAAGGGGAACTAATCAAATTTGCAGATGACACCAAACTGGCAGGAGTAGCCAACACCCCAGAAGACAAACTCAGAATCCAAAAAGTTCTTGGCAAAGTTGAACAATGGGCCCTATCCAACAAAATGATTTTCAATGTGGAGAAAAGCAAAGTTTTACATTTAGGTAGGAAAAATCAAAGGTACAAGTACAGATTGGGCATGACCTGGCTTAAAAACAGTAACTGTGAGAGGGATCTTGGAGTCCTAGTGGACAATCACTTAACCATGAACCAGCAGTGTGCAGCAGCAGCCGAAAAAGCTAATACAATCCTTGGTTATATAAACAGAGGCATAGAATCGAGATCACACGAAGTATTAGTACTGCTTTATAAAACTCTAGTAAGACCACATCTGAAATACTGCAGCCAATTTTGGTCACCATATCACAAAAAAGATGTTGAGAGTTTGGAAAAAATTCAGAGAAGAGCAACTAAGATGATCAAAGGCCTGGAAACTAAAACATACAAAGAATGGCTGCAGAACTTGGGTCTGGCTAATCTAAAGAAAAGAAGAAACAAGACAAACAAGTCCTTCCATGTTCAGCTCAGCTGTTAAATGGGTCGCAAAGGGGAGAGGGTGGCAGGCTGAGGTTTGAGAAGAAATGGACAGGGAGAAAGTTTTAGGAAATGATTTTAGACAGGTGTTTTTTTAAAAAAAAAAAGAAAGAAAAAAAGCTTAGTTTTCTTAGAAATAGCTACCAAAAGTTATTACCACTTTGTTCAGTTTGTACCCACAATGTAACATAAGTTCCCCAAGATTTAAAAAGAAATTCCTAGAGATCAGCAATGTATTCTAAAGCACACTGCAGTCAAACCTGGCTGCATCTTAACAATACACAGAGCCTGATCCATGTTCACACCCCATTGTCATACCCAGCTCTCACGCCTTCACATTACACAAAAGGGCTGCTATCTGGGAAGCAGGCAGGCAGCATGTTACAAGCAGGTTCACAGAGTATCACAGAGAAAATGCCTTTTGACAAAATAAAAAAATGGCTCTTCTACTGATCATTTAACTAGGACAGATTGCATTGTGGCTCTTGTTAAGCTCAAGCAGAAATCAAAACTGAACCATATCACTGAGATCTCCTGACACTCCATTTTCACAAAGTACAAGTGTTGTTTCTCCCCACTTGCAGAGAACTTTGCTACCTACTTAGTCAACAACCACAACATTTCCTTTTGCACGGAAGCCTGAAAAACAATTGGCTATTTTATTGCACAATACTTTCTAACTCACTCAGGATTGTGCCAACTTAGCTCAAGCAATCCAAATTCTGTGGCGTGAATGAAGCATACCAATTCAAGAGCATAAGCTCCTTGCTCTGCCTACAACCCAATGGTGAAGCCCACCATCACCACTATTTTTTTTCTATTCTAGAAATTGCACTAGGCATGCCTGCATGAATTTTTGATAAAAAAAACACAGTTTGAGCCCTATAGATCTGTAAAGGGGTAGAGGCATCAGATAGAATGGAGCATATTTGGGGGAAATGTAGGGTAATTCCAGATAGCAGGTACTTGTACTCTGGGCTGCTCTTAGGGGTTCCTGAAACTGGCTTAACAAATTTCTGTCCAGATTGTAATGTTGCTGTGCAGTCCAGACCATGGTCATTCCCCTGCTTCTTGCTCTTCAGTGCAGGAAAGATAAGCCTCAGTGGCTGGTCTCTGTATAGGCAACCCACCTTTTCCTTTAGGGATTATAACCTTCTCGCAAGTTTCTTTCCTTTGCTTTCCCAGATGTTTGCATACAGGCCAAAAAATCCAAGAATGACCTGTAGTGATTCACCCAGGCTGAGTTCTTTATTGTTTCCACACCTATACACAGAATCTTCCCAGATTGAGCACTCTACTACTGCATCTACCATATGTTCTGTGAACTATTATGGAGCATCTGTCTTCATCCTCTTTATGTCACCCAACAGCTTCTTTAGAAGCCACTGGAGGGGGGGAAAGGAAGCTTTTGAGAACACGATAGCCCAGCACATCAGCATGAAATTATCATATAGAGAAGCTACCTGCCATTGCAGTGGGGAGGTATGCCAGGCACTGTAGCTAATTGGGGATGTCACTAGATTATCATAAAGCTTGGGGAACCCTCTGTTTAAGACGCTCAGGACAGAAAACGGAACTTTCAAAGCTGAGCTTCAAAGAACAGATGGGGAGTACATTTACAGAGGAATGGCAATGAACAGAGGACATTGTTGTCTTTTCCTGCAGTCAGAAAATGGTGGCTGGCAGGTACTGGTGAAGAGGAAAGCAGAAAGTATACATCTGGCCTTGGATCATGACCTAATTTTACTAGTTATTCCTCTACACTGGCGCCTTCTCTCCAATCCCAAGCTGGACCCATCACATAATTAGCAGGACAATGTAGCCTCCCTTACCTTTGCTTGTTTGCTTGGTCTCCCTCACTATTTGAGAGGGGCTCTCTTGGTTCTTCCAATGAGACATGGAGCGCAGGTACTTCCTCACGCTAAGCTTACTGCTTCTATCTTGGGCCTTGCTCATCCTGCCTGGCAGAGAGAAAGCTCTCTGGAAGACAGATCTCTTGGTGGCTGCTCTGCTGTCTTGGGAGACCAATGGTGGGAGATCGTCATGGCCAGACTCAGGGACTTCACTTTCAGGTGGGCTTTGTATTCGGTTCCATTTCCGTATTTTGCCCCTGCGCCTGCTGCTTTTTGATCCGTAGTGAATAGATCCCAGTTCTGGCACCTTCATCCCAGTTGGCAGTACTGTCTGCCATAGGTAGGCCTTAAGTAAAGATGAGCCCTCTGTTTCAGGCTGAACTGCCATCTGTCAAACAAAAAAAAAAAAAAAAAAAAAGGGGGGGGGAGAAGAGCCATTTCACAAAAGCAACAATACTAGAGCCTCCATTGCCAAAGTCAAGGTAGCCCTATGTTCATACTTCTAAACCAAAATTATCTCTTCTGACTTGGCCATTTCTCCAAGGACACATAGTCTGGATCCCTCCCCTGAGCAGTCACAAGCAAACAGGTATCAGTCTGCACAGACAATGGAAAGATTCAGTTGCTTTCCATTTCAAGCCCTTAAAAGAGGGGAGTTTCTGTCAATGAATAGTCCTTGCTAAGGGAAGGTGAGCACAGTGCCACTCCACCCTTCTCACTCCGAGGTGTAGGGTGGCTACTGCTCACTTTTTGCAAAGAAGAATTTTGTGCTGCCATTGCAGGAAGTAAAGAACTAGCAGCCCCACCACATCCTGCATTGCTGTTAGCTGACTCAGACACTTCCTGCAATGAAAGAGCTTGCACTGCAGAACTGTTATGCCTTGCAAGTCAGTTTTGCAGACCCTTGATGTGAGACTGTCTTGGAGTTCACTTACTTGAGATCATCCCAAGAAACTCAGCCTGCCCTTGTTGGCAACCCGGTGGAGTCCATGACCTAACTCTAAAAATGATGGGCGGAGCATGGCAATGATTGCATCTTGATCAACTAGCTCTTCTCTGAGCCATAGAACCTGTCTGAACATGTCCCTTGTACACTGTGAAGTCACATGGCCCAATCTCCTTGAAAAGTGCAAACTGCCCAGAAGGGACGCTGCTGTGGGGAACATGGAGAAGAGAGAAGTTGTGGGTCAACATTTCATTTCCTGCTCTTCTGACTAAGGAAGTGATGGTTTTCTGCTGTATAGCCCATTCCACATCTCTAGGTTGGTTTTGTGTGTATGTGTGTGTATGTGTATGTGTGTGTGCTGCAGAGTAGTCCAGCCTTAGTAGAACTAAATTTTAGAGGAGAAAGAGAATGAGAGCATGTTTTCTCTGGAACAGGTTCTTTTGAACAAAGAAACAGAAATTTGGCTTAAATATGCCTGCACAGCAGATTTATCTAGAGCATCTTTATGTAGGGATTCTTAGACTGATCTTGTGCTGCTTGATAAATAAGGGAGCCATTAGTCCTTGCTGAATACTTGCAGCCCCAGCAGTAAAAATGAACTTAGACTCTGATAAAACAAAGATAGACAAGAGGCATGACAGCAATGAAACTAAGAATTACCCTCTTGGGCCCACTCCCTTTGTACCCACATGCTTTTATTTCCCAACTCCACCATCACTGCCACAACTACCACCATTGCCATGTTCCTGTCTAATTATCAGAAGGAATATGGAAATATTCTTTGTTTTTAGTATTTCACTGCTCAGCTTTTACCCAGATTCCTCCCCTTGCTATGGCACAACCTCCTTTCTCTAATTACCTTAGCTTTTAGCTGTCCTTCGTCCTCAGCCTAGCCTTTCTTCATCATCTCTCTGAATGACTGGTTTCCTCTCCTGCTCCCTCAGCTCTGCAAATCCCCATGTGATCTTCGGTGACATAATAATCTCACTTCATCCTGTTTGAATAACCCGGAGGCTGCCTTGTGCTATGTGGGTAGCTGAAGCCATCCTTTGCTTGGTTGTGCTTAATCCAGACTGCTCACCTAGTTGAGCTCTGCTGCCACCCAAAAGCAGATGCCACATTTCCTATCCATCCTCCCTTCCATAAGAACTCCCTTAATAGCCGTGTTCAGAGTGGATCTACTGTGCCAAAATTAGTTGGGCCAGTCTTGCCATGTTGCACTTAAGAATTCCACACAAGAGTTTGGCCAGGTCCTGGATCAGCTCTACAGCTGGGCCCCAGCCTGTCCTCTTTAGGGCAGTTCAGCAGCTGTGCAAAAAGAACTCCCTGAGGCTGGTTTTCAAAGGGAATTGGGGGTGGGTGGGTGTCATTTCTTCATCAAAAGGAACTCTTAATTTCTCCCTCCTCCCAACTTTTCAGCTTCAGCTATTTTAACTGGGAATGGAAGGGGAAAGCTGGTTGACAGCCTCACATAATTTCTTCTGTCATTCAGACAAGCCAGAAAGACCAAAATGCTTCTCTTTTACAGAAGACCAGGAGCAACATGGCAATCTGTTCAGATGTCTTATTTCTTTTCTTTTCTTTCTCTTTTGTATAGGATTGTGGGAGGGGAGAATTTTGGTGGGACCAGTGTGTTAGGAATAAAATTTTAGAATAAAAAGTAAAGTTAAGTGACACGTACTCTATAAAATTTCTACACGTAGACTGCAAGATTTCTACATGTACACATACCTTGGAAGAGTTCTGCACGTAGGCTATAGGATTTCCACACTGAGCTATAGGATTTCATGATAAAGTACATATAAGGGAATAGGTGAAGCAAAATAGTAAGGGGCAGGGATAATGTATTTTGTTTAGGCGATCCTGATAAGATTGTAACCTCAGAGGAGGGGCCAAGGCGTTGGGATAGAATGTATATAATGTGTGTTTTTGCTGTGACCAGGTGTGGCTCAAATATTTATTTGGAGTCCACCACGTTTTGCAAACCGTTGTAGCCAATAAATCTCTGTCTAATTTCAACTTGCTGTTTGTTGTTATTCAGTGGGCTAGAATTTCTACCAACAGTTTTGGCGCCCAACGTGGGGCTCGAGACCGGGATCGTTTGTCTGCACCAGATCCAGAAGGTGACATGGAAGGCATGCCCTGTCGATTTCAACAGTCTATCTCATCTTGTTGGTAAAGGAGCAGCAACGCTTTCCTCGGCGAACCAATAGAGTTGATATTAGACAGAGAGACGAATTGAACCGGTGTGTGTGTTGCTGGCTTCCGGGAACTGGGCAACTCCGTGCACGGACCTAGGTAAGTGTTCTGGGGTGGCCAGTATACACTGCCTAGGCAGTCGGTGGGAAGACTGGGTAGGCCTGTGTGAATTTGAGACAGTGTGTGTGTGACATCCCAAGTATCCACTTAGCGAAAGTGGACCTCTGATATGCGAATGCATATCTAGGGGGATCAGGGGGAAGTGAATTAAGGAATTTATGTGAAGTCTCAATTAGAATACACAGGACGGTAAACCAATATGGGCAACACAGGGAGTACTCCAGGAAAGAAGTGTTTGAGAAAAAGAAGAAGGAACCCCAATTAAATATAGATAAAGAAAGTCCATTAGGGATTTTATTGAGTAATTGGGGAAAACCTCCATATAATGAAATAATTAGTAAATTAGACATAACCAAGGAAGATATGGTTAATTTGTGTTGTTTTGTCTGGTGGGAAGATGAAAAAGTAGAGTGGCCTAGATTAGGAACAAATGACTATTTTGCTTGTCAGAATTTATATGAGTATGTGTCAAGGAAAACATGTAAATCGTTAGTCAATGAGTTAGACTATGCTTTAATTTGGAACCCAGGTAAATGGGTCACCTTGACTATGAGTGGCCCTAGCCCTCATAAAATAATCTCAATATATTTACAAGAAGAAGAGAAGAATGAAATAGAGGAAGAAGATGATGAAAAATCCATGAAATATTTACCCCCACCTTATAATCCTAATCTACCACAACCAACAAATGTACAAATACCTATTCCACCACCCCTACCAGCTCCTGTAACACAAGCCCAGGGAGCTGTGAGAGGTGGACCCTATAAGGTATTAATAAAAGAATTGGAACAATTGAAGAAAGATATAAAGAATTTTCCCTTTAAGGATAAACCACTACAGGCTTTTCCTTTAAGAGAAGTACCCAATGGAGTAGATGGCCAAGAACAGGCTCGTATCAGTTTTGTACATGAGCCCTTAAAGGCATCTGAATTACGTGCCTTCAAGAAAGAAATGAAAAGCATGATAGAAGATCCAATAGGGTAGCAGAGCAACTGGATCTGTTGTTAGGAGCAAACATATACACATGGGATGAATTAGGAGTGATACAGAGCACGTTATTTACAGCAGAAGAAAGACAGCTAATTCAAAGAGCAGCTCATTTGGTCTGGACTAGGGAACATAATCCCCAAGCACAGGGGGCAATTTTGGCAGATGTAAAGTTTCCTGTAGTAAGACCAAATTGGGATAATAATAATGCTGCAGATAGACAAAACATGGAAGATATGAGAGTATTATTGATAAGAGGAATAAAAGAAGCTGTTCCAAAAGCACAGAATATGAGTAAAGCTTTAATGATAGAACAAGAAAAAGAAGAATCTCCAGCTACATTCCTCCAAAGACTGAAAGATGGAATGAGGAAGTATTCTGGAACTGATCTAGATGACCCAGCAAATACTCTTCTGGTAAAAATACAATTTGTGGTAAAATCCTGGCCAGATATAAGTAAGAAATTACAAAAATTGGAAGGATGGACGGGGAAAAGTATAGACGTTAAAGGCAGCACAAAAGGTATATGTGCAAAGGTATATGTAGAGAAATTTAGGCAACAGAATAAAATGATGGTTGCCACAATAAACCAGGTAATAAAACAAAAGGAAAAGAATACAGAAGGAAAATGGATATTACCTGATGGATAGCAGGTGTTGAATAAAGCCATAACACGTGAAGTAATCCAAACACTCCATGAGGGTTTTAGAAGACGTGTTTCTGAAAGGTATGGCTACAGGAGAATTTTCACTGTTGTGAAACAAATAACGGCCGGATGTCTCATTTTGCAAGAAAGTTAATAGGCAAGCTCTAAGAGCAAAGGAAATTGGGAAAGGAAAGGATCTCATTGGCTTTTGAACAGTTCCTTGAAATTATAATAATAGTTATTTGTTTGTTAGGAGAAAGTATGAAATGAAATATCTGTATGTGAAAGTGCTTATACAAGCAGTTTGAATGGAAGTGAATGTGTGGCTATGCTGAGCCTGTGTGTGTGTGTGTGTGTGTGTGTGTGTGTGAGTTTCTCCCCCATCCCAGACTGTGAAAGAAACAGTAAGCTGCAGATTTTTTTTTTGTTACTGTAAAAATGAAATGGAAAATGCATGTGAAGAGAAAACTATTTTGTTAGTAGTGAAATTGTTGCATAATTTCTTCTTCTTTTCCTGTCTCTTTCCCCCCACCCCCAGCTGGCTGTGTTGCTTTAAGAGCGAGAAAGACAGAAAAGAAAAGGGGGGTCTGATCTTTTTAACTTTTTTTTCTGCTTAGAATTCTGGTTTGAGGAAGGTGAGCTGGATGTGAAATTTAATACCCATTCTTGCAGTAAGAAATGTTATTTTTTTTAAAAAAATAAATGAAATATGAGAAGAACTGGAATACACCTATATAACCATTAACCAATAGAAATGACTTTGAATTGATTTGTTTAGATTTATAAATGATTTAACCTATTTAATGGAAATTTGTTTTCATCTGAATGAAATCTGATTAAATTGGAATTTGACTAACTTTATATTAAAACCAAAGAGTTGATACTAGAGTTTGATACAAAACTATTTCAGTAACTCAGAATATTTCATTAAGCTTGTTTATTTATTTATTTTGTGGAGTTGCTTTTTGTTGTTGTTGTTTTATTTATTTTTTTTAGTTTTTATTTCTATGCAGGACACACTGATAAAAATAATAATAATAATACCTAAGAGAATTGAAGGAATTATAATTCAACCTTGTTTAAAACGAAGGAGTTGAGAAAAAAAAATTGGGGGGGAGATTATAAATGAGCTATGTTGTTTTGAATAAAGATTTGTATGCAAACAAACTCAAGCAGAGTTTGGTGAGCACTCCTTTGTTGGCTCTTTACTAAGTAATCTGTTTGTAAATACATACGGACAAAGGAATGGCTAGGGGAGGGATAATTGATACTTTTCTATGGTTAATATATGGTTGGTTATACAATAAGTATGATATGTAGACAAATACATAAAATGTTCTATAACATCTAATGGTGAGGCTATTTCAATGCATTCAAGTTGATTTTAAATTACCTCAAGTGGGAAATTCCACAATATGAAACTCAAATGACTTGGATAAAATGTTTACCTTTAGTATTGTTGCAAATAAGAACACAACCACAGAAAGATTTAGGATTGTCTCCTTATGAGTTGTATGGTGTGTCATTTATGCCTGGAAACATCTCCATGGACTCTTTAGTAACAAGGGATAAAGTAATAAGACATTATGTGCATAAACTGTCGCAGTATCTTGATCATTGCAGGAAACAAGGCTTGCTGATCCAAACACCCCCTTTGGAATTTCCTGTCCACAAGTTTGAGGTGGGACAGTGGATCCTGATCTGAATGTGGAAGGAGGAGAAATTGCAACCTAAATGGGAAGAACCATTCCATGTGTTGCTGACCTCTGAAACTTTCGGACGAAAGAAAAAGAGTGGACTCATATACGAGTGAAGGGACCAGTAGCTGAACCAAAAGGACAGTGGACCTGTGTTCCGGGTGACGACTCGTTTAAATTGATACTGTGTAAAATTCCTGTTTAAATGTGTTGGTACTGTGCTGTAAATGCCATGTTGATTGTTGTTGTTTCCATTGTATTGACTGTGTAAGATGTACTGGATGT